TTCTTCCCTGTGAGGGTGCTGAGGTGCTGGCACAGGGTGCCCAGAGGAGCTGTGGCTGCCCCATCCCTGGCAGTGTTCAAGGCCAGGCTGGACACAGGGGCTCGGAGCAACCTGCTCTAGTGGAAGGTGTCCCCGCCCATGGCAGGAGGGTTGGAACTGGATGAGCTTTAAGTTCTCTTCCAACCCAAACCATTCTATGATTCTATGTGACTTCTTGAAAGAGCAGCTGAGGAAGGTTTTCTGTGGTTCAGCAATAACACGATGAGCCAGAGCCCCCTCCTGTTTTTACATGGTTGGCATCACTCTTGCCCAAGAGGACAGGCAGGGAGGGCAAAGCCTGAGCAAGAGGCTGCCCTGGAACAAAGCAGCTGCAAACGCTGTGAACTGTGCTTTTGGCCTCGTGGCCTCCAGTTTTTCAGGTGAACAAGATACCTTATTGTATAAGTGAAATGCATCCTATTATTCCACGCATGATTGGTTGAAAAATGCTTTCGTTGCTGGAAAGTCTGTTGAACAATATAGTTTCCACTTACAAAGCACTTTCCTTAAAAAGCTTCTCAGGGCAGCATCGTATAAAAATAGTTCTACTAAAGTTGTGAACCAGCTTCTGACAAATCAGGACTAACAAAAGCTAAGGTATAAATAGAAGTGTTTTCGTGGGTTTTCTCTTCTCTAGAGGCACAGAATCTCAATCGGTGCTGGATTGTAACACACAAAAATGCCCTTTTCCAGACAAACAGGAAAACAAGGGCCTTCCAGACTAGTGGCACAGAGTATAAATAGGTTTTCAAAACTGTAAATCTTAGTCAAACCCATAACATTCACATTTTAGAGCGAGCCACACCATATCAGGCCTTATTTTTTTGATCTAGCTTTCTATTTTATTTCATACAAACGAGCGTTAGGGAAAGGTTAAACAAGTTCAATTTTTATACTTATGGAAGGAATTGTCTCCAGGCACTCACAGAGATGAAGATTATCTCAAAATCTGCAATGGATTTAGAATTCCTGGAAAAGAAATGCTGAAGAATGTAAAATATTACATATCCTGTGTTTATATTTTGTCAGTGGGCAGAATAAATGCACCTTAGTGGTCATTTTCATAATTCATTATTTTTGCAAAGGAGTTGTTTGTTGTTGCAGGGTTGTTTTTTTTTTTTTGCTTACAGAAGACTTTGAAACAGGTAAATGTAAAATCAGTATTTGCTAATCCAGAGTCTGGATGATCTTGATTTTACTCTGAGCCGGTTCCTCCTTCTGCTCTACACTGACCTTTTCTGAATCTACCAAACCCAATGTAGCTTAATCCACAATACCAAAGAGGGAAGGTCTATTTCTGTAAGCTGAAAATAGTTTTTACTGCAGTTAACCTTGCAGCTGAATCAGTTCTGCTATTGCTTTTTAAGGCATGTTTGGCCAGTCATGTCTGCATGGACCAGAAGTGAGGTTGAACAGGGCATCTGCATCATCACCCTGATGCATGCCGCTGTTTGCACTTCAGTAGCTATACTGAAAACACCCCACATACAAAACATTTACTGACCAGCAACTGAACATATGACACCCTTGGGGTCTGCGGTAGCTGAGCTTTAGAGATACCAACTCCTTCAGTCTATGTATGGGAAGTAAGGATTTCAGCAAAAGTTTCTGGGCATCAAATCCTTCTGTATATTGTCCCAGTCATTCCATAATCCTTTCTATCTAGGGGGCCTTATTCCATTCTGCATGGAGATCTGCTCTTCACCCCTTTTCCACCTTTGTAGTCCCCTCATGTTGTCCAGCCTCTCCAAAAGGGAGATCTACAGCTGCCTCACAATGTCAGTGCATCACCCACAAGTGGAGAGGCACAGTAACATTGCAAGGAGAATCACTTACGTTTTCTCTTGCCATGATCCATGCTAAGACCTGGGAGAAGTGCAGTTAGTCTTTTCTTGCTCCAGTAGCAAACAGTGCAGCAAATATTTGGGGCAGTATTTAGTTACCTCCATTTAAAAAGATGAGAAAGCCAGTATTCTGCTCGATGCTGCTTGTGAGTAATAGTTTTTGCTATCTGACACCTGATATTCTGAGCATTCTCCATGAAAATAGTATTTGGCCACTTCCATTACCCAGTGATCATGGCATGAGAAATATTTGATGTAAAAATGAGTTCTTCCTGCTACAGCTACAGCATAACAGATCTGAAATTCTACTTGTCTGTAACAGCAGCGCCAAAATAGCTTTAATAATTAATCATGCACTGATTAGATTATAAACTCACGAGATGGGCCAGGGATTCTTGTATTATGCATCAGACAAAGGGCACTGGCAATGCTTAACTAGCACTCACGGGCTCCTGCTCCACCTGCCTTTGTGGGAGCACTCTGGAAACCAGGAGAGAGACAAAGGCCCAGCAGAAGTTGATAAAAGCCTTCGATTGCCCATGTTCAGGAATACAGAACTGTTGAAACAGGTGCTGCCCGCCAGGGGTACAGCTTCCCTGTTAACTTCTGCCTTGCCAGATGCCGCTCTCCATCGTGTCCCACTGGGAAGGCAATGGGAGATAGAGTTAAGCAGGGAGTCTCCCATCTGGGAACGCCAATGCAAACAGCTGCTGTGGAAGGGCTGGACAAAGAGAGCCAAGGCACGGTGTGGGCGCCTGTATCCTGTGCTTACCCTTGTAGGGTCCCCTTGCATTGCCACACTGCTCTGCCCTGCCTGTCAGCTGCTTGTAACGTTACGGACAGATTTCTGTGGAAGCGGTGGGATTTTAGCTGGAATGATCTTACATGCAGCTCATTTTATGGGAAGTAGGAGTTTAACACTGAGAACCACTAGAACTCAGAGCTGGAAAACTACTTCCTAACATTAACTTCCAGTTAGAAACTTTGCTCAGCTATCTTAACTAACTTTTCCAGACCCTTTGCTCTTGTCCCATGACTCTTGGGGCCTATTTATCACAACTCCAGAGGCAAATCCCCTGAGGGGAGATAGTCCATGTGCTGGGTTTTGAATGCAGAAGATATTACCAGTGCATTCAGTGTAATGCTTTTCCTGATAAAAAGTATGATTTCAAAAAGGGGACCTTAGAACCAGTTTTATGATATCAACAAGAATTGCTATTAGTCTGGCCTTAGAGATCAAGGCAGTTTTAGGGGAGGAGGGGGCAGGGACCCTGTGGAATGAAATGAGCAAATCTAGTTAAAAATGAATCATTTTGCCAGTTGTTGGGGACTTTACAGAGCAGTCAACATCACAAAACAGCAGTTACTGTTCAAAAGCACTTGTGAGGCAAACAGTTGTCACTCTCTGCTGATCAGAGCAGCACTAGGTGGTACCTCAGAGCAAGGCAGGGCATGGTGTCCTCCCTGTTTGCCCAGGGATCATCATGCAGGGTGGGCAGAGCATGGGACAGCTCTGCTGGGAGATGTGGCCCAGGGATGGATAGCTGGAAAGGGCCATAGCTGCCAGGAGAACCTGTCTTCTACTCATACAGCAAATCATCACAGGTGCCAAAGCTTGCCCCAGGAGTAAGAGTGGGTTATGTGAGATACACAGCACAGACCTTCATGAGTGGGACCTTTATAATAAGCCGCAGCCAAGTTCTAGAGGCATCCAAATGTATCTTTCTGCAACCAGGAATTTACAGATGCCACAAGCCACGTGGCTTCTTTTTTTTTCCCCTTTTCTCTGTCCCTTCTACCACTGACCTTTATGAAAAACAGAAGTTAAAGGAGGGAAAAATAACTTTAATGAAACATTCAGGTTGAGAAATCAAAATTGGACACTCCAACAACAGGAAGTTTCAAAAGCAGTGTTTAGAACAGCACGTTGCTGAACTGTGGCACACTTGCTTTTCTTTATGCTTTCAGTCGCATTACAGCGTGTACCTTGACTCAACAGCTGGGCACAAAGACAGGATCGTGGTTTGGATAGTACGGTCGTATCGACAGTTTAACACAGCAGAATTTCCTGGGCATAGAAAAGTGAATAGTACTCAACCCCCAAACAGTTTCCTGGCTCCTGCAACCCGTGCTGCAACTTTTGTCTTTCCAGTAAATGTGTCTGAATTGTTTCCCTCTCTGAGGTTACTAAAACTTGTCATTTTATTCCAGGGAGCTGGAGACAGTTTTGTGGGAGCACTGGCCTTCTACCTGGCTTACTATCCCAAGTTACCCACGGAGGAAATGGTCAGGAATTCTAATTACGTCGCATCAGTGAGCGTCCAGGCAGCAGGGGCACAATCTTCATATCCTTATAGAAAGGACCTGCCCCAGAACCTCTTCTGACATTGCTTAGCTCAAGGTACCAATTTTATCTTATCGCAGACAACATTAGTCTCCTGACTGCTGAGGTTCTTCTCTGCCACCTGGAAAGACCAGGAAAGCCTTTTTGCTTCTTACCTGAGGAATCCTGTTCATTGCTGCTCTAGAGTAGTAAGACGGGGTGGGCACATGGGGTCTTCTGAACACAGCACAGCAGCAGGTCTCTCTAGCCCCACACACAACCACGGGGCTAATGCTCACATGAAGCAGAGCATTAGCTTTGAGACTACAGTGTCAGTCCTGGGCTGCAGACACCTAGGCCAGCACTTGGCTCCTTCCCCATCTGCTCCCATGTGCTCTGCCAGGCTGGGGAAGGTCCCTCAGACTGGAAAGAGGATGAGAGTGCTACTAAGGTAGACTTTGAAAAACATTTCTAGCACTATTAGCTAAGAGGTGAGCTACTTAAAGAAGAAAAACTTGCAAAACTATCCCAGAACTACACTGTCTGCTTTCCTCATGCCTGACAAACACACAGGAGAGAAAACTCCATCCTGCTTACCTGACTGACAATAACCTAGCCCTTACAGCCGTGGTCACAGCTTCTCCAAAAGCTCATCTCAATTCACCGGGTTCCCACTGTTTATTTCTTTCCTAGGAAGGTGCTGGTGCAGAACTTCCCCTCCAAGGAATGACCAGTTCGTGGTCACTGCTGTTGAAGCTGTGGCTGGTAGGTTAGAAAAACTCGCAATCCTGCCATTGAATTCCTGCTGTGGAAAATGTTAATTTTTATTGCCGTATAAAACAATAGCTCCTTTGAAGATTACAACCTCTTTCACAATGGAAAACACAATGGGATTTGCTATTTAATTTTTTTTTAATTGAGTACTGTAAAAATAACTCAAAAGATAAATAAATGTTACTCTGATGATCTATGTCCAGACATTAAGAATTTTCTCTCTCTACATTGTTTTATTCACAATGGCCTTCAAATCACAGGAGACGGTGATCCCAGTTCATTTCCTCTCTTTTCAGCCCATGTTGCTGGATTTCTGAATCAGTATTCACCCCATCCTCCCCCCAGACCATCTCTCCTCTCACATAAATCAACTCCGGTCATTGTTCAGAGAGAGCGGATTTTTCTCTTCTCTGTGAAGAGGACACGTTGTTTTGCTAGAGGGGAAAAAAAGACTCTGTTAAGAAGCCTGAAGTGTTAAAATGCAATCCAACGAGCCTATGTCCCTTTCTCATGGCTGTCTTCGCTGCTTAAATGAGCGTGGAGCAACCGACTGGTGCAGCGCTGCTGCTAACCAGGTCTTGAAGGGTTTAGTAGTGCTTTCACTTTACCACATGTAATTTTTAGTTCCTAAGAGGTCCATTTTACCTCTATGGAAATAAGTATCAAGATTTGAGTGCCTGAAAACATTCAACAGCTGCTCTGTGTGACTATTCTGAGTCACAGCTGCTCAGTGTAGGGACAAAAATAGGTTCTTATTGCTTTCTACTATTCTTCAACTTCAAAGCCCGAACAACTACAGATGATGAGCTGGATCTAGGTGGTCTCATGGACTGACTGAAACCTTAACTAAGTGTCCTGTGGATCCATGAGAGAGGCACAAACTGACCCTGCCTCCAATGCCTGATGCACATGCTGGCAAAGTCAGTTCTGCTGCATGTTCAGCATAGTCAATGCATTACTTTAAAAAAGCCCCAAAAATAAATGAAAGCAAAGCTTTACAATGACATACGAACGGCACCACTGTTCCGACTGAACTGCGTTATATGAATTCCTGTGAAAGCTACACAATAACAAAATCTCTTCTTCCACATAAAAGTTTCATTTTAAGAAATAGTGCAACTTAGTAACACATTCTGTTGCTGCAGTTAGGAGGTAGTGAAACTTCGGCACCACTGCCACTACTTCACTAAAAAGCTTCATTCTGCAGAGGTCCCAGGTTTCTGAGAAGTACAAAACATAAGGTGAAAATGCATGCCAAGTGAAAATGCTTCCTAACATATTCCTGATGTGAGCTGGTATCTAGACTCGGATTTACTTCCCTTCACACATGCAGCACTTTCTCACATCAATTTCTCACTTGTGTTCTACTACCGGCTACAAAGATCAGAGCTTTTTTTTCTTAATTACTTCCAATTTCGTACTTCAACAACCTACTACATGTTCCACAACAGAAGCGCTGCTTAGCCCGAGCTCTCCTACTCTTCGCATTCCCTGCAGCTTGAGAAGCTTCTAGAAGATCACTTTGCACAATGTCTCAATGCAGTAATTTCAACTTTTCTTAGTCAACAAAATAATCCCAGTGATCTCCAATTCCCCTTCTGTACGGAATTCAGAAGGGGACCACAACCTCTGTCAGCGTGAGTCCTCCAATGAGAGCATACTGCTTCTGTGGCGGCTCCTCTCACCTCCCATGAACCTCCTGTACTGTCAGAGCTCAGTGTGAAAAGGTCAGTCAGATAACAAGAACATAATCAAAAAATAAGCTTGAAAAACATAACTACTGGCCATGCATTATGTCATCTACTTAGAGCTGCTTAATACACTTCTCTGTTCTAGAGATTTAAGTAAGCCTTTCTCGCATTAACTCCGTCATGCTATTTCTAGCATGCTCTGGTTTAGGTTCTAAGTTTCCCCAAATTAAGCTTTTTAATAGTAACTACAGACTGATTTCTCCCTCAGAAACTTAAGCTCTCAGCCATCTTTCAGAAAGCTGGGTGAGCAAAAGGCAGCTTGGCAAGTGCTATAACCCCTCAACAAACAGGATTCTTAAACTGAGAAAATCTACAAAGTCCAGAGGAACATAGAAGAACCCACAAACTGTCACGTGGACAGCAGTATCATCTGTGGAGAAGGACGAACTTGTGTTTATTTCTTCAAAAGAAAAAGTCTATTATGTAAGTGATGGTTAAAATTTATTGTCTAGAGCACCCATGGGAGCATAAAGGAGCATTTCTATTGAGGCGTACTTCGTGGCTGCTTGTTGGAGGTAGCACAGTCTATCAAACCACACAAAGAAACAGAATGAAAGAACTCCTGTGTTACTTTGCTTTGCCACTGACATGTGGCATGGCTGTCATCAAAGCTCTGATGTGTCAGGCAAGTCATTACTTTGTTTCACTGCCACGATCTGTAATGAGGGTAAAGTTTACTTCCCACTGGAATGTCATAAAGAACAGCAACCATACAGTCATCCCAGTATGAAACATCTTATGACATATTCTGCTTAGATGGGAAGAATCCTGTTACATTCAATCCTTTTGCCCCACACAGCCCAAGAAGCTTATACAGAGCAGGCAGACTTCTTCCCCCAGCTCTTACCAATGGGATCGTACTTGTACAGGACCAGTTTCTCCTGCAGCCGGAGTCTCCTGACGTTGAAACAGTAGCCTGTCTCGGCCGCACTTTTCATCCTCACCAGGATGTATCTAAAGTCACAAGGAATGTCTTTGTGTCAGTGCACCAACACACAGCAAGGGCCTGCCCCGTCTGCCGGGGCATGGACAAGCTTTCAGCATAAACAACTTGGCAGAGTCACGTAAGATATTTCATTTCAATTTCATGGCTGTTCTGGAGAGGAGTGTCAGTATTATATGCTAAGCTTACAACAGACAAAGAGCCCACTATAACCCGTAAGATCCAGCATCAAGTTTAAGTAACTCGTGAACAGAATACAAGACCAGAAAGAAGTAGCTCCTCCACAAAGCAGTGAAGAGAGAAAGGGAAAGAAAGGGAACAGAAAAGAAGGAACGAGAAGGAAAAGAAAAACTGAAAAAAAAGGAAAGTAAAAGAAGGAGGAAAAAAAAGGAAAAGAAAAATGAATCAGCATACACTTGAGTCATTGTAACTTAAAAGAGAACAGCGACAGAGGAAGGATGATGGTAGTTGAAGATGTTTGGGCTATAGATGACACTGCATCACAGAATATCACTTCCACATGCAGAGAAGAACCTGAGCAGATAGGATGCAACAAGTGGCATGCAAAAGGAGAAGCAGGACAGATCAGCATGGCCCATCCCACTACAGATACAGGGCTTTAATCCAGCACCAGGAAGCCCCTTCCCCACTGGAGGGCTCTTGGTCTGTGGGGCTGACTGGCAGCAGCTGCAGTGTCCCTGGAACAGGACAAGTCAGGAGACTGAGGAGACACCATACCTCCAGCCTGGAAGCATGCCCAGATCTGCACAACTTCCCAGACATGGGGCAGCTTCTGCAGTTTCAAAAGAAAGGTCAAACCCTGTAACCAGCCTGCAAATTGTGTCCTTCTCTTGCACTGCAATGTAAAGGTGGATACATCTCTGCACGTAAGCATTCAATTAATTTCCCTGGATTTTCCTGCTTCTAACACAAAATTGTATTGTCAAAATTAACCTTCCAGAGACATCCATTCTTCCCCACTTGTGCAGCTCTGACCAATGTACTTCCTTGAGCTCTCCCATTTTAGCTCTGCAATCTAAGTCACTCTAGAGATCAAAATAAACAGAATGCTGGATTCCTGGCGACCAACTGACAAAGGACAGTGTAGGGATTATCCCCAGTTATTATCCTCTCCTGTACAGTACTGTAGCAACAGTAACCACACAGACTATTTCCCCTGTATCTCACCCACTTCCTCAGACCCTCTGTGTGGTTTCTCCTTTCAGTGGTATCCGTACAACCAGGCCTTAAAATTCTTGTGCACCACAGATTTGAGGCCAAGCCTTTTTCTGAACAATACACACCTTATTCAAAAACCCTAATTTTATAGGTAATATAAGGAGATAACATATTCCTGAAGTATAGATGGGACTATGCAAAGAACAGAGAAATGAAGACCAGGGGGAAAACAGAAAAGGGAGTGGGGGAAATCAGTACATTACCATGAAAAACCCCATTTTTAAAAGCTGTTTTTCCACCTCACAGAAACATCCTGCTTTACTGTTGTTTGTTTCCACAAATAACAGATAACAGTAAAACACAAAGACATCCTGAGCTGGAGTACAGAGCAAACCAAGATGCCCAGAGCACTGCCTGCACCCCATCCGCTCACACACAGACACGCAAACATGCTATAGCTGGGAAGTGTCCTGCACTCTGCCCATGGGAAAGGTTCACGGCACCTGTCCAAAGACCCACAGTGTACCCCAGCTTGCCCTCCTCAACTAAAACAAGTGTAAGGTCAACAAGAGAAAGGTCATGGGGAAAATTTACAGCCTCTCTTTAATCACACAGCACAGACGTGTGTTTCCCCTGTGCAGGGTGCTTTGGATATTACAGCTCTGCAAAATGCAACAGCCTATAGGGCAAAACCCGCCTTTGCTGCAATTCCAGAACCTGAGGGAGGTTTATACCATTCTGCACTTACCTGTGAAAAGACACACATGCAGAAGGACCGAGAGGATGCAGCTAGACTTAAGGACTGCAGTCCTCTCGGGTACATTACAAAAAGCTAGAAATACCTAATATTATGTCAAGTCACTTGAAGATATAGGGTAGTAACAAAAATCAAAAGCTGACGAGGAAAACACTTACTTAGATTTGCTCTTGGCCACTGTTTTTTTTCAGCACGAAGAAGAGGAAGAAGAATAAAAAAGGAAAACAGTTATTTTATCTTGTTTCCTCTGTATGCAACATATAAAGATTAAGAGTTTTCCACTGCCTGCCTTTGCCATAGCCCCAGACAGGCTGTGAAAGAGCTTTGCTGTCACCAAAACCTTGCACTCTTCCACCCGTCTACGTGCCCACAGTTGCCTGCTCCGTCTTCCACCACCACTACCTCTGCGGTGCGCAGACGCTGCAGCCTGCAGATGCTTTAGGTGCTGGATATGAACTCACTATGGGGACGCGCATAGGGCAGGTATGACATAAACAACTCTGCCACTGAGAGCTGCAGCCCCACTCTCTGCTTGCTTACACCTGCTCTGCCTCCTGTCACAGTGCAGTGGTTCATGTGGCCGCACAGTGAACCGGGCCAGAGCTGTTCTCGGATAACAGTGACCTTCTCGGAAGGTTGTGTTTTGTTGCCCTGATCTAACCCGCCACATAGCACGAAATAGGCAGAATTACCTATTTCTGTCAGCAAACCGAACCTAAGGCAATCATAAATCTACGGCGTAAACCATAAACAACCCCCCACCAACAAAGGCTGATCTATATTCCATCCACGCAGGTCTTGCTTAGGCCATCGCTACCTTCTGCCCAGCCTCCCTCGGCACCGTTCCTCCACCACAGCCCAACCTCCTCCAGACACCAGGAGGGCACATCCCTCCCTCCCTCCCCCCCCCCCGCCACTTCCCATTTCTCCACTCAAGCGCTGGAGCTTCCCAACCTCCCCACTGAGGGCTCACAAGTTCCGCTTCCCCCCCGCTCCCCACCTCGGCTCCCACCCCAGGGGCCCCCCCGCGGTCCCGCTCCCCGCTCCGCTGCCCCCGCACCACTCACAGGCCGCTACCGTTACAAACATCGCGCAGCCCGCAGACCCTCCGCTGCCACCGCCAGTTCCGGGTCGCCCGGGGAAGCGGTTCCGGGGCGCAGGGCGGAGGCTGGGCGGGGCGCGGTGCCCGTTAGCGCCCGGAGGGTCCGCGGCGCGGCTTGGGTCTGGCGGCCGGGAGGACGGGGGGTGCTCGGGCACTCGTGACGGGAGGCAGCGCCTGAGGTGCGGGGCGGCCGCCATGGGGGCCCAGCCCCACAGAACAGTCCCAGGATGGTCTGGGTTGGAAGGGACCAGCTCCAACCCCTGCCGCGGGCAGGGACACCTTCCACTAGAGCAGGGTGCTCCAAGGCCCTGTGTCCAACCTGGCCTTGAACACTGCCAGGGATGGGGCAGGCACAGCTTCTCTGGGCACCCTGTGCCAGCGCCTCAGCACCCTCACAGGGAAGAACCTCTTCCTCTTACCCAATCTAAACCTACCCTCCTTTAGTTTAAAGCCCCTTGTCCTGTCACTACACGCCCTTGTAAAAAGCCCCTCTCCAGACTTCTTGTCAGCCCCTTTAGGCACTGGCGCTGCTGAGGGCTCCCCATATGGAGCCTTTTCTTCTCCAGGCTGAACAAGCCCAGCCCTCTCGTCTGCGTAGCAAAGGTGCTCCAGCCCTCTGAGCATCTTCATGGCCTCCTCTGGACTCACATGAGCAGCATCCCTCTTGTGCTGAGGACCCCAGCACTGCACACAATGCTCCAAGTGAGGTCTCACGAGAGCAGAGTAGAGGGGCAGGATCACCTCCTTCGACCTGCTGGTCACGCTGCTTTTGACACAGGTTGGTTTCTGGGCTGTGATTGCACACTGCCAGGTCATTTTGAGCTTCTTGTCAGGCAATACCCCCAAGCCTTTCTTCTTGGGGCTGCTCTCAATCCATTCTGTCATCCTTCAGCACATCTGCTAACCCCCACCTGTCTTTGTTCCCTGTTGTGTGAAAAAGGGGGTACTACTGCGGTATCAAGTGTCTGAGGCATTAGGAAACTAAACCTATGAGTGTTATGAGAGACTGTGCAAAACCCATGGGCAGGGAGGCTCAAGGGGGCACCCAGGCAAGTTTTGATGTTCTTCTGAGCAGTTAGGAGAAGAACTGTAAGCTGTTACCCTCTAAAGGATAACAACTCTGTGGCTTACTTCCCCCTCTCCCACCCGTTGGGTACACCGTTAATGATGGAGTTCAAGTCCTTGACTATTTAGCGATTACTAAGGCAATGACAATTTCAGCCTGACGTATTTAGATGGAAAGCAAGACTTGGGATGTTTAATAACATGCAGTTAATTTGATATTCTGTGGCATAAACTCAAGTGGCTGACCCTGTAAAAGACTGGAGCAAGACAACATCTCAAGGAAAGCCACGCGGCTCCTGTCAAGTGTTCACTTGATATATTGCTCTTTGTTTCAATCCAGGCATTTCCAAATGCTTCCTCTTAATGATACATCGGCTCAGTCTTTACTATTTGGCCTTCAGAAGTATAAATCTAGTAGTTACATAATCTGCCCGTGAATACCAGAGTGAGAACTTGAAAACAGTCAGGATGATAGAATGTGAGTGCTGTAAGACTTCTTCTCTTTGATCTGCGTTATTGCCTCAGTCAGTGAACAGACTGAAATGGAATGGGATTGCCAACCTCCTGGCTTCACTGCCAGGAATATAAATCAACATTAAAGATGATTTTCAAATGAAATAGCAAGTTAAACATTTGTACAAACACATCATCAAATAGAGGTTATACTGCCTCTTTTTAAACCTCTTGCCTGCTGGCAAAAAGGAAACTGTTCCAGTGACATTTTCTCTGCTCTGCTGTGACAAGGGCTGCATAAATATAGACACCGTGGATTAGAATAGACTTCAGCAATCTTCGGCTTCCTTTCTAGCAGCCTCTTCTGCAGGCAGTTTTCCATAGCTATGGGTGAAAACCAGGGAGGCTGAAACTGGTGCGTATGGCAAGGTGGTGACAGTGTAGCACGCCCCTCATGGCTGTAGTCATAGCTAACCTTGGGGACAAGGCATCCTGGCTGGAGGAAAGGAGGGAGAGTCAGGATTTCTAACCATGACTGTGATACAGATTTGCTGTGTGGGCTAGGGTAAGTCGTGTACTTTGGGATCTTCAGTGGCATGTGCAATGCAAATGCACATTTTTCCTTCAACTTTGCCTAAAGAAAGCAAGGAGTGTGATGAACTGTAATGCCAGCCTAGATAATTCTGGTGCTTGCTGAGAGAGAAGTCACTTATGTCTCCAGTGGAGAAGCTGCTGGTGCCAAACCGATCAGTGTCACTCAGAATCAAACATAGGGTGGGTTTTAATTCAGCTAGAAAAACAACAATTTGTCACGTTGTACCCTAACTTATTCTTTCCATTTTTATGCTTTACATTCTAGGCTGAGCCCTCTTTTACCTCCAGGAAGTGAGGAGATGGCTGCTCCTTGCCAAGACAGTGCGGTCAGGTTGCTGGCACACCCTGGGCAGGCAAAGGCGCTTGTGCCGAAGGTTGGCAGGAGTGATGCTTCTTCAAGTGCGTGTGGCACTTCAAATCAGTCATCACTTGAGAAAGTCACAGGAAAGGAGAGCGGGGCAGCAGATGAAATGTTTGCAAGGTAAATATCCTCTTGGCACTCTGTTTTCTACATGAGTTACTGTCAATTAACACATACAGAACCCAGTGCTGGAAACAAGAGAATAACACACTAAAGCCTGGGAAAAGCTCCACGTGTCCTTCCTGGTTTCCCACAAAAAAACAGACAAACAGCTAACTAAGCCAAAAATGCACACAGCTCGGTGGACGTAGTTTTAAAACAGCCAGGCTATTTTCTCCTCTCCCCTTGCTTTCCCTTTCTCATCGTGTTACAACTTAGTAGAGTTCGTGCTGTCCACAGTGTTAAACAAACACTCACGGGCACATCACTCATCCCACATAGCAGGTGGATTTTTACATTCTTTCTGCGTATCTGAATCCATTATCTCAAGAGGGCTCAGAAGAAAGTGGGCATTAGCTTAATGCAGCTCTGAAAGAGGTACTGTCCAGGTCAGGAGAGCAGGAATGATGGAAAGAGCTAAATCACTTTGAGCCAGTGACCAAATCCATTTCAGCTGCTGGCCTGTTTGAAGTGAGCTGCTGATGGCCTTTAGCCCA